AGAAAAAAAATTTGGGGGGGGGGGAAAAAACCCCCTTCGGGGAAGGGGGGGGAAGCCCACCCAGTGGGGTTAAAAAGGAAAAATTTTTTGGGGGGGATTAAAAAAGGGGGAAAAATTTTTTGGGGAGGGAAAACCCCAAAAAAAAAAAAAAATTTTAGGGGGGGTTTACCCCGCCGAAAGGGGGAAAAAAAAAAAGGGGGAAAACCCTTTGGGGGGGGGGGGCCCCCCTTTTGGGGGGTGGAAAAAAAACCCAGGGGGTTTTGGGTTTGGGAAAAAAAAAACCTGGTTCGGGAAAAAACCGGGGGGTTCCCCCCCGGTTTTTGGGGGGGGGGGGGGAAAAGGTAAAAAAAATTGGGGAGGGGAAATTTTGGGGTCCCCCCCCCCCCCCCCCCCCCCCCCCCCGCCCGCTCTTCTCCGTCTTGTGTGGTGCCTCCCGATGCTAAGCAAACACGCTGTAGGTATTGGTGTCAGGCTTGGGCCGGAGAACGCAGGCGGGACCAGGTGTAGACCATACAACACAAATGCGTTCTAGATACTGGGGGCGCAGTGGGGGGTGCCGGTTGAGTAGAGGCGGTGCCTGGTACAGTTTGGCTGGCACAGACTAAAATCACCGGGTGTTTCCGTACCGTGACTAGCGACGGTGTCCGGTATACTATAATAGTGGCGGTTTAACCGGCTTGCACGGAAGAATAACCAAGTCATTCCGTATCGTAAATACAACGGGCACACAGCGTCATCGTCTAGCTCACCTCTACCCGCGGGATGGCGGTAACGACCCCATCCAAGAAACCCGCCTCCTCCTCCCCCTCGTCCTCCGCCGCCATGAACGCCCCGCCCACCCTCCTGCTGCCCGCTGCCCCTGCCGCAGGACTTTTGACTTCGGCGCCGCCTGCGGAAGGAGGATGATTCGCGCTCCGAAGCGCGGGCGGGATGCCTTGGGCCACGAGCTCCTTGAGGTCTCGGAACACAGGCGAAGCGGCGAACGGAGTAGGCGCAGCGGTGGGCTTCGCCCTCTTGCCCCCGGCGGCTGGCCCCTGGCTGCTTCGCGCGATGAACGGCGGCGGGCGCCGGAGGGCTTCTCGCAAGTCGGCTGACGAGCCCAGTTTCTCTGCCCATGCTGGAGGAAGGAAACGGGGGGGGAGGGTGATATGATGTTACACGTTTTTTGTCATCCATCCTGCAGAGAGCGAGCGTCTACGCTGCTGTGTCTGCGCCAATCAAGACCAAGCAGTTTCGAGATGAAGCCGTTATGGATCATTAGCAGTCACCTCTGTATTGGCGGTACAGCATGCGTCAGTACACCAACAAAGATCAACCAGCTTGGCGATTTGCACGATTACCTATTTAGCGTCAGCCCCGAACACCTTGTCGTCCAACACGAACAAGGAGCAGAAGGAGGAGGCGACTCCATATGTTCTCCAACCGCCGAAAAGGGAACGGGTGGGTACAGTAGACCATTGGGCGAGCGCGAGTATAGAGCCAGTGAAAGAGAGTGCGCAAGATAGAGATTAAAATTGTTGAAAGGGGATATATCTCGAATGGCCCATGAACAAGAAAAACCTTTAATGTAAAACCACATCCAAACTTCATATGGAAGGGAAATTTCCTGCGGTAGTAACCGAAATAAATTGTAATTTCAGCCGAAGAGCGAACTTGGTGAACAAACCGAAAGTGCATGCTTCGACATGACATACTACTCCATTAGACACATAGGGTGGAGTCATAGGTAATTGTGGGATGTTGGTTCCCACCACGCATGTCACGGAGAGAACACGAACG